AAAAAAAAAAAAGTTCTTAATCAGCTTTATTATCTTGTATCTTGTTATAAATATAAATTTTATAGCATGTTTCAAAAACTTTTTTTTATTTCGTTTTGATTGAAGACAATTTATTAAAAATAGTAATTATTGGAAGGGAAAAATTCATGTTAAACTGGTTCTTTTTATTTTTTTTTCCAGTAAAATGTGGGCTTAAACTGATAGAATAATGAATAAGAGAATTAATTTATGCTCTGTTTTCAGATAACCATATATCAATATATATTGCGAAAAATAAAAATAATGAATTAAGTCTGTGATCAAGCTCTTAAACTTAAGGCAATATATCTTAATTTCAAAATTTTATGCAAGAAGATTTTAAAAAAATAGTTCTTTCTATAATGTGTGATAAGTTTATTTACCTAACTAATTGTTCGTTTTTGCTGCTATAGTGGGATTTGACTGTAATGTTGGTAAGTACAATTTCTGTAATACTCTGCATGAAGTGCTTGAAATATTTTTGGTTTGTTATCACAGAAATTAAAATCCAATAGAGTGCTTTGCATATTGATTTCTGCAATTTTTTTTAAGAAAAATGTTTAATATTGGATATATTTTTCATAATTTTTTTCCCTTTTAAGCTTGCAATGGCAATAGAAATGCCTTTATGAATGATAGAATGCATGCTGCTATAGAGTTTTATAATATGCACGCATAAATTATTTGCAGTAATAAAAGTGTATCTAGATCCCTATTTTATATTTATGTAAACTAATTTTAGTTGACTTTTTGTACTGTTTACATTTATATGTTTCACTCATATTTCAACTAATATAATTTAAGGAACATAATCACCATTTCCTATTTTAAATTTTCTGCCAAAGTCACCCCATTATTTTTCTTCTTTCTTTTAATTTTGAATTTTACCTCTCTGCTTCTAAATCTAGAGTATTTAATCTTACAATTTCTTATGTATTTTTTAATTATCTAAAACTTCAATGAGGAACCTGCATGCGTTGGGTAATCGCAGAATGTTGATTATTTTAAATAGTCTATATCTTAAAACTCTCTAAAATCAATTCAGAATTTAAAAAACTGACCCGAATATTAAAAAAAAACTTAACTTAAAATTAGCCCGAAACGAAACTAACTTCACGTGACACAAAAAGAGGCGGGGTTTGCTTATGACGTCAAAGTATAGTAACACAACGATCAGGAGGGGTTAAACCATAAGCTTCCTATCTAGAAATGTTTTAAGGCGTTTTAATTTGAATTACATTTTTTAAAATTTTTTTTTCTTTCATGTTTATATTATATATATAGTTTAAATATATATGTAGTGTATATCAGTTGCATCCTCCACCTTGAGAAAATTTTTGTGGGCACCTTTCAGCATAATGAAATAAAATTGAGGAAGGAAAAAATAAATTATTTAATAATTCATTTTTATTTAAACCGATTCATTCACATAACATATCTGAACTGTTTTGAAAGTTTTTTATTTAATGAGTTGATCCTAATTAGAGGGAATGGAATGAATGGTATATGACCTGGAATTATTAGTTTTTAGGTAAATAAAATTTTAAAAAAAATTCTTTTTTATTATTAACTTCTAAAATATTTTCTTGAATTTTTTTTTTGAAAAAGGTAAATAATGCTAAGCCCCTATCATTTTTTATTTTAACTCTCATAATTTTTTCTTTTAGATAAAATTAATTAAATATTTTTTAACTCAAAACCCTTCAGCATAATGAAATAAAATTGAGGAATGAAAAAATAAACGTTGAAACTACTTTTTTTCAATAACTTTTGAAATAAATTCATTTTTCTTCATAATTTATTAATTTTTATTTAGATTTGTCTATATATAAAAGTCAGAACTGTTTTGAAAGTTTTTATTTAATGAGTTGATCCCAATTAGAGGGAATGGGATAAATAGTATATAACCTGGAATTTTTTAAAAATTCTATTTTATAATTAACTTCTAAAATATTTTCTTGAATTTTTTTTTTTTTTTGAAGAAATGCAAATAATGCTAAAACCCTATCATTTTTTATTTTAACTTTGATAATTTTTTCTTCTAGATAAAATTATTTTTTAACTTAAAAAAGAGAACCTGTACACCGCTGTTCACTAAGAATAAAATCCTTTCATTTTAAGGAATAAAAAAAAGAGAAAGAAAGAAAGTTATCTGAACAACATTTCATAAACATTTTATATTCAGTATAATGAATTATTCATTCAGAGAAGCTTATCAATCAGAAAAACAATCTTATAGAATTAAATTATAATTAAGTAAGTTACTGTAAAATGGTCTTAGCAACAGTATAATGCAGTAGTTGCAGACAATTTGCGAGTATTTTTTTCATCGCGTCTGATGGCTTTGCACCAAATTTGTCTTTTTTCTCCTTTTGGTACACTAAAAAATAATTTATTTGGCGTGTTTAACGTAACATAGAACTATTGCACATGGTACAAAGCAACATTTGTAGTTTTTGCTTGGAGCCCTTTTTCAGAATTTATACTCGGGTGGCATATGCTTTTACCGTTTCCCAACATGGTGGGAGTCATGGTTGTACTATACTGTGACGTCATCAGAGCGGATAGGAAACTTAGCAGCAATTTAGGGGGTGGGGTTAATCGAGCGATTTTAACTATCAATAACAAAATAACTAGTTATCGCACCGGTCTGAAATTGGTGTCCATTTTCATAAAATGGCACGATGTTTCATTTTAAAACATAGAAAAAAGCATGCAGGTTCCTCATTATTAAAAAAATTTGACTAATTCATTAAATTTCTCGAAAAATTTGAATCTTATTAAAATTCTGCATTTATTAAATTCAAAATGGGGGAAAATATGGAATAAATATCCAGGGTTATTTTTTTCTGAAAACAATGAAACTTGACAAAGAAAAAATTCTATCCCTAACGTTTTTTTTAATGGTTTATCCCTATCATTCTAAGGTCTTTTATTAGGAACCCAACAATCACAACTATTAAAGACTTCAAGAACTTACTTTCCATTTAGTTTTTGTAATGTAAAAACTTCACTAGAATAATTTATTTTTAGTATATCTTGTCTGAGGTGGTAATATATAGACTTATAGTTTTACCCGTTACAACCATCTAAACTTGTGTAAGTAATTGAAGTAAAATGATTTGAATAANTCAGAAAAACAATCTTATAGAATTAAACAATAATTAAGTAAATTACTGTACAATGGTCTTAGCAACAGTATAATGCAGTAGTTGCAGACAATTTGCGAGTATTTTTTTCATCGCGTCTGATAGCTTTGCACCAAATTTGTCTTTTTTCTCATTTTGGTACACTAAAAAATAATTTTTTTGGTGTGTTTAACGTAACGTAGAACTATTGCACATGGTACAAAGCAACATTTGTAGTTTTTGTTTGGAGCCCTTTTTCAGAATTTATACTCGGGCGGCATATGCTTTTACCGTTTCACAACATGATGGGAGTCATGGTTGTACTATACTGTGACGTCATCAGAGCGGATGGGAAACCTAGCAGCGATTTAGGGGGCGGGGCTAATCGAGCAATTTTAACTATCAGTAACAAAATAACTAGTTATCGCACCGGTCTGAAATTGGTGTCCATTTTTATAAAATGGCACGATGTTTCATTTTAAAACATAAAAAAAAGCATGCAGGTTCCTCATTATTTAAAAATTTTGACTAATTCATTAAATTTCTCGAAAAATTTGAATCTTATTAAAATTCTGCATTTATTAAATTCGAAATGGGGGAAAATATGGAATAAATATCCAGGGTTATTTTTTTCTGAAAACAATGAAACTTGACAAAGAAAAAATTCTATCCCTAACGTTTTTTTTAATGGCTTATCCCTATCATTCTAAGGTCTTTTATTAGGAACCCAACAATCACAACTATTAAAGACTTCAAGAACTTACTTTCCATTTAGTTTTTGTAATGTAAAAACTTCACTAGAATAATTTATTTTTAGTATATCTTGTCTGAGGTGGTAATATATAGACTTATAGTTTTACCCGTTACAACCATCTAAACTTGTGTAAGTAATTGAAGTAAAATGATTTGAATAATCACATTTAAAACATTATCAAAATGGAAAAGTAGTATATCTAAATGTGAAGTTAAATAGAGCGCGTGCGATTTTTGTAAAAATGTGACTGTAAAAGTTCACATTTTTTATTAAGTGCCTATTTCACTTTGATAAGACAATGTCGCAGAAACTGCTGTAAATAGTAAAAGAAGGGGGAAAAAACAATTACTTTTTGCCACTTTGTTGTGTATTTTTTTTAAGTGCATTCGCATCTATTTATTTTTCATAAAGTTGTTTAACATTTTTAAATTTCAGAAATAAATGCCCATTTTAAGTTTTTCTTTTTTATACAGGTTTTAAGAGGGAATTAGGTTTTTTTGTTAAAGCGTTAACTCCAGCTTAATAATTAATTATTCAATTTTTAATTTTATTCCCTAATTATATTTTGCTTTTTTAAATTTTCATTTAGTATAAAAATAGGAAATAATTTTCTTTTTATTTCCATTGCACTTTTAGATTCTTGATTCTTTTCCTTCTTAAATATCATTGGTCATTAAATACATAAAAGCATTAATTATCAAATAAATTTTTAATTAACCCAATAAGTTTGATTTTTATTACTGTTAAATTTGATAACCCCTATCTAATATATCTAACATTACCGCTATTTAACATTATGTATGATAATGGTGTTGATAAGGTAATTCTAAATAAAACTTACTTTACAACATAATTTTTTTTAACCCAATTGGTAAAATGAATGTTTATTCCACGTAGCTACACATCTAAGCTATTAGATGCTTGTACATTTACTGACTGAAAATTGTTTCAATAATTATCATAAGTAGTAATGAATTTTTTCTATACTGCCAATTTCTTCTTGTATATTGCCAAATCTTTAAATAATTTGCTTTTTCATTTTCTTTATTTGCTCATTTCTGTAAAAAAGTCAAACTTTTTTTGTAAAAAAAGTTTGTCATTGAAAAGTTTATTTCTGACCAAATGTTTTTAGTAAAATAAATAGGAAACATGCAATCTAAGTTCTCATCTTTTAAGAGGAAAATTTTTTTATAGAGTTTTGTAAATTTTTTATGCAGTTCTCCTCTAGAGTGTATGAATGCCTTCTTAATTTTATAAATAATAATTCGAATAATAATAATTTTTAAAAAAATCAAAGCTATAAAAAGTAATTGTTTATGCTTGTAATTATGTAAAAGATATTTAAACCACAGACATGTAATTTATAAAAAGTTTTAATTATTTCTAAAATAGTATTAGTTACTCTTTCATTTCTAATGACTATGGAAAGATATTCACTCAGATTTATTTTGTTCCTTACAGATTTTACCATACATTGATGGTTTTCGTCATGTTTCAAAAATCGCAATTGAAGCTGGCGTGGAGATACATTTAGTGAAAGCTTTTATTCAGAATATGGTGTTAGTTTCTTTTATTTTACTGTTTCATATTCATTTATAACAAACATATCTATCTTTTTTTACTTGAAATTATCATTTTTTAGTGATGTAACATAGATGAAAAGAAAAACTTTATGTGAACACAAATCTCAATTAAAAAAGTAGTTTAAAAAAAGTGGTAGTAAGTAGTTTCAATCCTTTTGCGCCGTCCCATTTTGGCGAAATTTGTTTGAAAATCTCGGATTTTTTTAAAAAAAATTTTAATTTTTATAGAGCTTTTTTTTTATAGAGCTTAATTTTTATAGACCACAGGTTTGAGTTAGATCAAGAATCAAAAAAGCGGAAAATAAAAATCCAAAAATGTTATGTACAAAAAACATTTTTTAAATATTTGAAAAAATACCTAAAATTTGAGCAAGGAAAAAGTATGAAGGAATTATTGATTCACAAAATATTATCAATATTTTAATAAAAGCATCAGTGCGTGATGTTATTTGTTTAAATTCTGGAAATGTGTAATTTTTAGATCACGTGAATACAAACCTCCATGTTTAATTTTAAAAGCGTGTGAATACAAATTCTGTTGTATAGTTTTTTAGTCACTTGAAGACGAATTATAATAGTGGCTTTTCTCATGAATACGAAATGTGATACGAAAATACGATTGATATAAAATTAGGAAAAAGACAAACTTTTTTTGAAGAGGCAGATTATTTTTCTTTTTTAATAATAGTGAAAAAAAATTTCTGCAGTGATGACAATTTTTCCTCGAATGGCATTCATGTATATTATACAGGTGTGGTAATGTTTATATTGAATTATTAATTTGCATGTACTCTAAAAATACTTTTGTCATTTTATTGTCATGGAAAGTGTGGAATTATGTTTTCTGGTTGTTTGTAAACTTTATAAGAGGGAATATGTTTTAAATTTTTAAAATAGTTTTCTTTAACATTATTATCCTTCTTATATTGAGTGAATTGTAAAAATTTGACATTTATCTGTTTTCATATTGTTTCTTTTAAATGAAAATTTAAAAAAGATAAACTAATTTGAAATGTAATTTTCATTCATATTTATTAAACTGAAAATAATTGTTTTTTAGTTCATAATTTAAGGCAATGTTCATTATTTAAATATTTAGAATTTTTTCAGATCATTAATGTTTAAGGATGATATAATTATAGTATATTTTCGGAATTTTTTTCTCTATTTTACTATAGGTCAGTATTTTTAAGTAAGGCAATCTATTTAACATTGTGCACTTTTGAAAATTTCAGGTATTATGGTGTAGTTACTCTGATTCCAATTTTTATGTATTCAAATGTTTATACGCCTACAACTAGATTGCATGATCTTGCTGAAAATTATGATTTACAAGAAGAATGTATAAATTATGTTGCTCGTCAAGGTATATACCTTTTTATTTCTAATTTAAAAAATTTAATTTTTCAGGTGCATTTCAAATTAATATTTATCTATTTTCAAATTAATTTTTTTGAATATTAGAGCATTTCTAAAAATTATTGTACTAAATGTCATTACATTTTTAAACAACTATAAAAAGAACTTCATTCTCATTGAAACTATAAAAATTAATTTATCAAAATTTTTCTTCTACAAAGCATTTGCATTTCATTAAAATTAAGAATTTTGTTGAACTGTTTAAAAAAAATCTCATATAATTTTTAAATTAAAAGTTTTCTTTAATTTTATAATACCTCCTGATTCACCTTTTATGTGTATGCTTTAGTGGAAATCATGTCCATCTTTTTTTTGTATATAATTTTAAAATGTATACAACCTTTGAGTATGTATGTATTTAAAAAATTTAACTCTGAAAACTTAAAAAATTTTTCTATCCTATAAAATCAGCAGTTTTTTTGAAATCAAGTCAAATAAAATGAGCACTCTCTGTTCATGTTTTTTAATTATTTTTTAACCTTTGTTTTGTTATAATATTATTGGGTAGAATAAATTAAAGAACTAAAAATATATTTAAAATTTAACATTTTATTGAATGAAACATTATAACATCTGCACGCCAGTGCTGAAAACAAAACTATATATACTCGAGCGCTCTCTGCACTGTTCTGATCACCTTCATTTGGAGAAAAATACCAAAATAGGCAGTGTCTATGAACATAGCTGCCATCTAGTGGCGAGTTTTGGTGATATTACAGCTTTAGTTTTCATGATCATATATATTTAAAATTATTAAAATATTAATAAAAGTATTTTTAATTAAGTTATGTTTGGTTAAATTTAGTAGTTAAGTACTGATAGAAGTTAACTGTCCCCAAAAAAAAGAGGAGTAAAGTACATTAAATTTTTTTTTATGTATTTTAATATGTCAATTAACATATTAAAATACATTAAAAATTACTAAATATTACATTTTTCGTCCCTTTTGCCTTACTTTATTTATAGCATGTCAGTTTCTAAATTTTGTCTATATTTTATTCCATGGTAATTTTACAAAATTTTGTAAAACTAGATTCATCTTAACATTATAAAAGTATCTATGATTAGAGCTTTGCTTTTATTTGTCTTTAAAATGACATATCTTCATAACATAAATGCAGTTTTTTGTTTCTGTATAAGTTTTTTTACAATAATTATAATTGGTTGGACAACTATTAAAAATTATTTTTTACAGGATGTCACAGACCTTTTTTTCGATCCATTTTTGCTCTTTATTGTCAATTAACACCCCAAACAAATGTGAAGACTCTATGTATGCGAAATAATCCCAGAGCTAATGGAATAGATGAAAGGTATGTTTTAATTTTTTATATGTTCAACAAAAATTTATTGCATGTAAGTGTATAACTATTTAATATAATCAAAAAATGCTCTGTGATTTATTTGTAATATGATTTACATCTAGTTATATATAAATAATAGCATACATGTTATTATTTATATGTAATGGTAGTTTTTTACACTAACATTACATTATACATACAAAACATTGTGATATTAGATTCTTTATGTTTTTATTTTATTTTGTTTATATAAGAAATAGCAAAATATATATTATTCAAATAACAGTAATATGCTTTAGTAGTATAAAGCGAAACTAGTACATAAAATTCCATGTTTGTTATAATTTGTGCTCATGTAATTTTTTCTTTACATATTCTTTATGATTCACATACTTTTTTTAAATATTTTGCTTTAATTTTTTTGTTAATTTTAAAAGATTTCTCATAATTACATGCAATTTTATATGGTATAATATATAAAGAAATTTATTATTGCATCATATGGTAATAATATTGATATTTACAGTGCAATATTGCCAAGCTTATTCTTGTGATAATTGCACTATAGTGTTCTTTGAATATGAGAAATTTATTCTGCTGAAGTATAGTAGCTTTATGTATAATTTGTTTTGGGAATGCATATCTGATTTTTAAAATAATTTTTTGTATGATTTGAGTCTATAAGAACTATTTTACAAATCAAAATTTCTCAGCTTGTAAGGTTTTTTAGTTTATTTCAGTACATATTTTTAGATGATTGTGAATTTGTATGAAAAATATTATCTCCTTAGAAAACTAATACAATTTGGACTGATGAGAGGTTTGATTAGGCAACTCCAAAAGTATCCAATTCAAATTTCTTCAGATAATGTCTCAAGGCAAAGATCATTAGTTAAATATTTCAATGGAAAATATAGCTTTGAAGAAATTTGTTGTAAAACAGGTAGGGAATATTTTAGTCTATGTGTCTTTATTTAACTAATTTATTTTTAATCATACAATTTAGGTAATGACCAAAATTTTTATACGGGGTGTTCTCTAATGACCTCACTGAATATCTTTAGAATCTTTGAGAAAATCAAGTAAAAAAAATATTATGCATATCAAGGGTCACAAATTTTTTAAATAAAAACAAAAAAATAATATGGCTGTAGAAATCTAACAAATCTGTTGCATTGAGTAATAAATCCCGTGAAAACTGGATTATATTGTCTTCTAATGACTTTCTTTCAGCCATTATGGTATAATATGCTACCTTTATTATTTGGTTTTTATAATTTTGTTTTTTTAATGCAACTAAGGCATTGTTATGAACCATGAATATTCTTTCAAAAGAGATTCACAAAGAGAATTGCATGTTGAAACTATAATTTGTTTGTAAATTATTTTAATGTGAATTTAACTTACACAGTTTTTATTATTATTTTTTTTTTTTACATTTGAAGTTTTATATCTTCATCTTACTTGAATGGTTTGTTATAAAATTTTGTTTCCATAAAGAGAAATAAGAATAAGAATTTTCAAGCAAGAACAGGCTGTAAAAATAGAACATGGTTATCATTTCAAAAGTTTTTGTTGTATAACATTGTATCAAATATAATAAGATTACCCACTTTTATTATTGAATTAGTATAAAATATTTTTGTTTTATTTTTTATATTGTTCTAAAATAGAGACAAAAAAGCTAAATCAGTTTTATGGTGTAAAATAGGATTCCTTCATAATTTTTTATTCATATTTTGTTTTTTAAATGCTTTTTGTTAATTTCCTAAAGAAATAAAATGGCTTCATATTTTGACAAGTGTGAATAAAATTTTATGCATTTTAGGAATCAGCTATCAAGATTTGGATGAGAGAGTGGAAAAGGATCCTCATATAGTTGTTTGTTGGAAATAGAACTGTAAAGCATACTGTATATATTTTGAATAAAGTTTATATATTTAATAACCATGCTTATAATTTCTCCTTTTTTTATTGTTTCATATATATTTAAATGTATTGATTTAGAATTTTTTCATCATTTTATTTGATTTTGTTTTTAATTATTGATCTTCATATTGATTTTTACATTTATTTAACTGACAGCATTTTCAGACCCGTTCTTCCAACTTTCCTGTGTGTTATAGTTTTTTTCTCTTTTTTAAAAAAAACTTTTTATTTGATTTTGTTTCCTTTGACAAAAACAGATCTCTCCCTGTGTTAATCAATGAGAAGATATTGCTTTGTTGAGTATTATTCTGTATAATTTTTTATACAGAATTGTATGCTGGGAGATTTGAGATTAAGAAACAGGATTTTTTGGAAGTAAATTTGAGTAAAATTTTGTATTCAAAGAGAAAGGATAATATATATATACAGTCGGTATAACTTAATTGCATATCTAATAATCGAATAACCCGCTTCTACAAATAAAATTTAATGGAATCAAATAATTTTATATGAAACTAATGTTAAACTTCCCTGTTTAAATGGATATTGGTTGCTTTTTTGTCTCCGCCTAACTGCATAAAGAAGAGGTTCTGAAATTAAAAAAACTTTGTTTATTTATGAGAAATGTTTCACCAGCTAATATGGAATTTCCGTTTTACAGTTAAGATAAGGATACAATAGGTAGTCACTTCAATAAGAACTTCCTGTTCATTAGTTGGTCTAAACAGGAGTAAAGTTGAAAAATTAATTGAATCTTGCTGCCAGTTACACATTGGAGTAAACAAAGGGGGTGACTTCACTCCCACATCATTTAGAATGTAAAAAAGGTACAGAGTGATTTGTATTGTTGTCCCCTCCTGGTGCACTATTAGCTTTGATAAGAAAAAGCTTATAAACCTAGCACACTAGTGTATAGTGTGTCTTTCTCTTAAGTAGAATAATCATTGCTTAATCCAGTGAATAACTCTGAGTTGGTTACAAATTGAGCGTGAAAGGATTTGAATTAATCAGAAAAAGAAAAAAAAATGAATCTTAGAAATAATAAATTTCAAAAAAATAAGCAAAATAGCTCATTAATTTGGAATTTCTTAAGTTTCAAGGATTAGAAAAAGTAAAGTAAAAATAAAAAAAGTATGATCCTCTGGTCGTTACTTTAAAACCAATTTACACATTGTTTAATTATGAAAAGTTTTTAAATTATTTCTTACATAAGCAAATTATGGTACATTAGTAAATTTGAGCTTATATTTTTATTTCTTTTAATTTTTGCTAACTCATAATTCTAATAGACAATCCTTAAGGAAAAACACAAAAGGATATTATTTGTAACATCTAAAGAGATCCTAGGATGGGGCCTCTCAGGCCTTACAATAAATCAGCCATTGATTGCCATTGGAAAGCTCCATTTCGTTTTCAGAATTTTTATTTATTCCTTATTCTTTATGTTTTCGAAAATTATGAATGTATTATTATCGTGAAATTTAAAACATGCAAAATCGTTTCATTCCATTTAATTTTAAAAAATTCCCAATTTTAAACTTTTTTATTTTATTTGCTAAACATATACCGATTGCTTGAAAATTAGTTTAATTAAATTTATTATTAAAAAAAATCTAATAGGAAATAAATTTCTGTTCGGCTTTAGTTCTATTTATACGAAATATATTACACAAAATAATTAATTGTAGTAAATTCTCATCGCTTTCTACTTTAAATAATAGTTTAATTGACTAAATAATTGCATAAGTTATATCATAATGAGGTATATTAAATTATTGAATAGTCTAACTGATTAAGTTTCTTAATTGACTAAAAATGCTCTCAAATTGAATTAGCTAGAAAAACTGAGATTAAACTTTAAATGATTGAGAAGAAAAATGCTTTTCTTGCACCAAATGCCTTATAATAAACACGATAGCACTTATTTGATAATTCCACTGTTTACAAATATCGTGCTTGCAAACATTAAAATCATAAAACTCAGTTTTAAAAATTCAACCAGTTCCAATAATTTTTGTCAAAATATTATTTGGTGTGATTTACTCTTACTCCAATTATTAGTAACTTTCATAAGTTCAAAAATTTTTAGAAATTGAAAACTGGGATCTACAGACGTGGACCAACCAGTTTTTAATTTTTAAAAAACCTAAATTTTTAAAAGTTTCTGAACATTAGAGTAAGAATAAATAACACCAAGGCTTATTTTCACAAAAATTATTAAAACTGGTTGAGTTTTTTAAAACTGAGTTAGATGATATTAAAGTCTGAAAAATTATATTCCTAAATGGTGGAATTGCCATAACACAGTTTTTTACTTTCTTGAAATCACAAGGCTAATTTCTTAATCTTTTAATATGGGTGATTCTGCGTTCTAGAATATCACCAAATTTTCCAAATAAATACGAACATCAACAAGGCGTTTCTTTGGTGTATAAAATTTTAAAATATATATTTAAATTTGCATCATTCTGATAAAATCGGATTTAAATTTCCAAATTATGTTCCATTGATTTAAAATTTATGTGTCGATGTTAGTTTCGTTGTCTATAAAACTTGCTTAAAGATTTGTCCTTGGCTTTTATTTAAGCAAACCCTACGTTAGAAAGTTTATGTTTACAACGATGTTTTCCTTCCAAAAATAATTACTGGTGAGGTTCGATTTAATGATGCGTCTTTTCACGTTACGACATCTGACATTCAATATCATGTTGAGATACATCAAAAGCATTGCCACCTACCACCAAATCTTAAATAGATTCGAAATTTACTCTAATTGAGAAATACATGACGTAAGGACGAATCAAACACTCTGGGGACTAGCCAAAAATTGCGCATGATTGCCAATAAAGTAAACATCTTAATTGCTCTGCTAAATCTTAGAATATTTATGGTTTTAATTTTGACGATTCTTCTAAATTATTTATCAGAGCATTACGATTTAAAAAAATTTGAGTCGTATTATGAGTACTGACTTCAAATATTTAAATTCAATTATAGTTCATTATTTTATCTGTATAATTCTATTTTCAAAGTAAATGATAAATGTCTCCGCTAATTTTAACATTAAAATTGATATGATCATCCACGATAATCACATCGCCTTTATGATCATCATGGATGATCAAATATGGTCATCCATAACCGCCTGTGCTATAGTAAATCATCGTATATATATATCTGCACTTTTAAATTAATTTTTTAATCGTTTCTTCAAGTCCATGTTAACATCATTTGCATCAGAAACAACTGAATTTATATTTGAAAACATTTTTTATTACCTTTTATTTTAATGGACTTTTTTTTAAATCAAAATTCAAGAAATTTGATTTTTTTAAAACAAAACTTTTAATTTACATTTGACTTGAAGCGTAAATTTAAAAAAAGAAAAAAATCGTCGATAGAAAAATATTTTTACTACACAAGTAAATTCTGGTAAATTGTTCACAACTGATGGTAATTATAACACCTGGGATTTATAACACCTGGTAAATAGGTGTTATAAATCCTAGAAAAAGTATTTTTTTGTCGTTATTTTCAAAAACGACAAAAAAATACTTTTTAACAAATGTAAACAGTTTTTTTTTTTTTTTTTTTTTTTTTTTTTTTTTTTTTTTTTTTTTTTTTTTTTTTTTNTTCTTCAAGTCCATGTTAACATCATTTGCATAAGAAACAACTGAATTGATATTTGAAAACATTTTTTATTACCTTTTATTTTAATAGACTTTTTTTTAAATCAAAATTCGAGAAATTTGATTTTTTTAAAACAAAATTTTTAATTTACATTTGACTTGAAGCGTAAATTTAAAAAAAGAAAAAAATCGTCGATAGAAAAACTGAAAATATTTTTACTACACAAGTAAATTCTGGTAAATTGTTCACAGCTGATGGTAATTATAACACCTGGTAAATAGGTGTTATAAATCCTAGAAAAAGTGACTAGGGTAAACAGTTTTTTTTTTTTTTTTTTTTCGTTATTTTCAAAAATGCGATGAATGAAACTGAAATGAGTTAAAACATATAACTTTCTTACTATTAACCTTATTTTGTGGCTTATCTTTTGAAAAAAAATTTAAGATTCTTGAGAAAATAATAATAAGACTTTATACATAAGAAAGTTACTTAAAAGAGAGAGAAACAATTATTTTAATCAAACTAGATCACATGAGAATGGGGGAAAGGAAACATAACTATTCTCAATTTTTTTAATGTTTCATTTTAGATTTTCCGCCATATTCATTTCCTTTCCTAAATCTCCAACAAATATTTTAAGTACCACCAAGAAGTACGAATGCTCGTAGTTGTTTTTCATACCATATTGCTTTGTTATTCTAATTAGCCTACAATGAGACTAACTTTCTTTAAAATTAGTTTTCCTTCATGTTCTATAATGCTAAACTGAAAATTAGTACTTGCTATCGTAGTTTCTATAAAAGTTAATAGAAATTCAGGGCTGAAATGAACTCCTTTCTCAACTGAAGAGAAATATATAAACTTTTTTACTTTTAAATATATAATTGATCACTAGCTTCATAATAGAAGAGTTTTCACGAAGAAGGAACCAATCAATGACTTACCTGAAATTTAAAGAGTGGAATTTCGGATTTAAAAGCATTTCTAATTATTATCAGCTGTGATTAAAAAGCTCTTCAAATTATGATCAGCCGTCTGCGTAAAACATTTCTTTTCTGACAGGTCAATAAATAAGAAAGTTTTTAATAAAAAAATTTTTTTTCCTCGTGAAACAATTTCTGCTGTTGCTACACTTTCTAAAGCTACTTTTCCTAAATTCACAAAAATTTCCTTTTGTGCCTTCAACATAACTCTTCAATTTTTGTAAAAGCATTTTTTGAGATTTCAGTAATAAAAGAGGCTTTTAAGAGCTACTTAGACGTGATATAGTTGCTAAAAATATACTTTAAGAGTGTTGTTTCAAGCTCACTGTTGGCGATATAATGAGATAAGAATTAGAAGTGCACGAGGGCATTTTACGTTATACCGAGCACACGATCAGACTAGGAAAAACATTCTGCGAACACAAAATGTGAATTAAAAAAATTTCTGCAAGCAGCTTATGTAACTTGTCTTGTAACTATAGTTTCAATCTTTTCGTCTTTACCTAATTTTGACAAAAACAGTTTTTTTATAAAAAAAAAAAATATTTTAATATTTATAAAACTCAATATTGATTGTTATACATACCAGTATATTTTTCTTTAAATCTAGCAGTTTTTTAAAGATAAACTAGTTATTGACTTACCAAATTATTGTATATTGTATAATAATCAGTTATTGTATCCAGTTTTACTAAAATTGACTGCGGATTAGAATCGAGACATTTTGACCATTTATATACACTCCTCAAAAGTGAAATTGCAACACCAAGAAATAATGCACGTAGCGTCATGCAAATTTCAGGAGCGATAGTAGTGAGATGGATATGCAAATGATTAAATTTACGCACGCATCTGATCACGTGGTACGCATATTCGGGCTATAAAGGCCATCAACTTTCCCTTCTCATAAACGGCATCTGAGGTTTTGCGTAGCATTTGCGACTTTCGAAAAAGCGTAGAAAATGCCTCTGAGACGTCGGCGAGCTCAATACCATCAGTTAACGACCGGGGAACGTGACCGTATTATCGAACTCCATGAACTTGGTTTGTCGCTGCGCGCAATAGCAACTTCTGTTGGGCACAACGTGAGTACCAT